TTTTTTAATAAGACAGCTGTGAGAAAAAGGGCATTATCTCTACAGAGCAGCCCAGTGCTAGGAGCAGCCACTCAGACCTGTGAAACCTGGGTTTAGTTCCCTCCCCAGCCTGGAGGAACTCAAACCCACATCTAGAAGAGCATGACGGTTACCAGACTGCATGGTGCCTGCTGGAGGTGTCACCACCGCCCCTCTTGCTCAAGGAGAGTCCTAGGCACAAGGCGAGGAGGAACGTACCGTAGAAGCTGTCATCAGGCCTGACCCCCTTTCGCAATACTGTACCCACATGCCCTCCCCAGCACCCCACGATAAGGAGTTTAAGGCTCCCCTGCGTCCCTGAAGGAAGCTTTTCTTTCTGCACTAATTATAGCCTTTCTCCTGCCATCTGCTCTTGAATACAGCAAGAAAGTTTCAAGGCTAAGGGTGAAGGTGTCCTCACAGCAGCTATCTCGCAGCACAGCCTGGCAAGCTCTTGGGCAGCAGAGGTTGGTTGGAAACACGTTGGGCAAAGAAAGGCAGAAGTCTCATCTCCCAGGCAAGCGTTGCGGCTGGTAGGCTGCGGGTTTGTGCCTCACCCCCAGTCACTCAAGAGGAAAAAGCGCTTCACAGTGGAGACCGTAACTGCATGCTGCCCTCGCTGCACTGTGCACGTGCTCTTCACCGAGACCCCCTGTATGGGGCAAAACCCTGACAGCAGGGTCTCTCGCTGATGGGCGTTCGGTTCCCAAGTGTGGGCACACCAGGTATGGCACAACGATCAAGGACACGAGGCTGCACGACTTGAAAGTCCAGGGAGGCACACCAGGACATCACTGTCACCATCACGTCCAGTGGGATGGGTTCTTCAAGGAGAATCTAGATGTTAATGCCACGTGGCCCTCAGCACCTGGAGAGCAGCAGCACCTCCCTGCACAAGCAGCAGCAGAACTTCTGGAGCGCCCAGGTACACTTGCACCATGAAACAGAAAGCTGAAGCGCAACCTGGTTGTGCAAGTTTCCTTGTGAACACAGGCCATGGGAATCCCAAGTCAGTCATGCATTTTATATAACACATTTAGGTTAGAAACAAAGATCTGCCAATACCTATACTCTCACTAGCTCTGCTAAGCACCGCAGCTAGCCCCTTCCTTCTCTGACGCTCAGTTACAAACACAGCTATGCTACACGAGCCACTGGAAAGCACACGCACGCTCACCAGAGCCAGGCTTAACACTCAGGGTAGCTTAGCGGGGGTGAACGGGATCACGAATGATCCTCTCCTGCCCCACACTGTTTCCAGAGGAGTTAACACACTGTGATGCACCACAGACTTTCAGGAACATGAAGAACATGCACCCAAACAAAAACCTGCTGAAAGAAACCTCCCTTTTAATTAAGCCTGTGTGACAACTTAAGTCATTTAAGTACAAAGCGTCTTCTGCTTTGAGGGAGCACTGTGTCCTAGAAGAACTGGAAGTTGGTGAACAATTCCAGCGAAACCACTGCGGAGCTTCGCTGACAAAACAAAATAAGAGTCTGACTACGTGCGAACTCGTGACAGTCAACGGGACAGGAGTGAAGGTTTCGTTTATAACAGGCTCTGAACACACCTCTACTTAAAACACACATAGAGCTTCAAAAACATCAGTTCAAATTCAAATTACTGAGTATGTTCATCAGCCATCTTAACATTTTCCAGCACAGCCCACTTTGCCTCCTGTTGCTGATTTCTCTTCTTTTTACCGGTAAAGACACCGCGTCTGATCCGGTCCAACTGTCACTGTGCAGATCAGCTTTAGGAGATTGCCACATTATCTCGCCGTCTTCCCACACTTCCACCAAAACTGAAACTTGGCATTTTGTTCCTTTGTCTTCTTTAAAGATTTATTAAGCGAGGAAACAGAAGCTGAGCAACCCACTCTTCCTCTTTTAGATAAATTCCGTTTTTAAAAGGGCAGCGACAAAAACTTCCTAAGCACTAAACGTTTTCTCCTTGGCAGAACCATTGACCACAGGCCAGCGTACGGCTGTGCTGGGAAATTATCTGATGCCCTCCTGATGCAGGAGCAGAGGGAACACAAGGAAAAATAACCCCAACCCCTATAAGGACGATACCGTGCCAAAGATCTTGAAGAAACGACATTGCAGGCAGACATTTGACTCCCCCGCAGCGCCTTCAGAGCTGAACTTTGGCCGAACAAAGCTGCCCACAGACCAGCACTTCGTCAGCTAGACCCAGGGCTTGCCCACCCCGAGAAGGGCACCGGCGTGGGCTGACACCAGAGGCGTCGGGCACTGTGACGTTCCTCAGCCACGTAGGCCACCGCGTAACTCATCATTCTAAATTTTCTGCAGATTGCTGGGGAATTCACCTAAAATATCCCAGTGTCCTGGAGGAGCGATGTGACTCACCAGGAAGCTGTTCTAAGTTCCTCTTTCCTAAACTGCTGTTTGCTTTACCACGCCATCTGCGCTCCTTTGCCCGTGGACGGGAAATCCCCTGACGCAGAGAGCGAGAAAGCGCAGGGCTGTATTTTGAGGGACACACCACCCGTGTTCCTGCCAGCCTCCACACCGCACCAGGCTTCATCGTCACTTGACGCCCAGCCCGGCTCGGAGCCGGCGGCCCCGGCGGGACCGGGGCATCCCC